CAATTAGTCAGATGTGATCATGGATCACTCTGCAGCAGGCACATTTGTTGTGCATCACACAATCTCCACACGGTGGAGTCTAAAGTAGAGATCAACCGAAAATCAGTGTTCCTGATATTTAAGTCTTTTTCCATTATCGGATATCAAGTTTGTAATATCGGATCCACCGATACATGGCGCCATCTTGTGTGCTTTTTGAGAATTGAGAGCAAGACCATGTTACGGCTCTGCATCTAGAGAAAAGACGAGTCAACAACGGCGTTTACAGGTAAAATAACTCGATTTGCTTTAATTGATCTACTTTATCATATCCAATAATGCACAAATGAGATGAGTTACATAAATGACTGATATGCATTTTAAGCTTGGTGTTGAGAAATAGAGACAAACTCATGCAATGCATTACATGTCCCAAAGACGCAACTTTACATTAGTTAAAGACAACAGATTTAAATAAGGAAACAAAAATTTGGAAACAAAACGGCTTAATTTAACTCAAGCAGCGTACGCTCTTCTGTGTCAGCCGTGCGCTGCACGGATGTGCCGTTTTCATTCAAATCAAAGCGTAAATACACGTAGAAAACGTATCCTTGTGTTGCGGCTGACACAGAAGAGTGTATGCAGTTTGCGTTCAGTGGATATTCTCCAAAATGGCGCTACAGTGATGCGGAGAGACACAGAGGAGACAAATTGTTGAATAAAGTCGTTATTTTTGTTTTCTTCGCATACAAAAAGTATTCTCGTCACTTCATAACGTTACGGTTGAACCACTGATGGCAGATGGACTATTTTTATGATGTCTTTCATACTTTTCTGGACCTCGACAGTGTAATTTACTTGGCAGTCAATGGGACAGTCATAAGCCTCCCGGTTTTCATCCAAAATATCTTAAATTGTGTTCCGAAGACGAACGAAGCTTTTACGGGTTTGGAACGACATGGGGTTAAGTGATTAATGACAAAATTTTCATTTTGAGGTGGAGTATTCCTTTAATATGTGCTTAATTAGTACCAATAAATGGCTAATATTCTAGTAATATGCATGCTAATAAGCAACTAGTTAAGAGACCCTAAAATAAAGTGTTACCGTTTTTTTTATCTTCTCAGAGTTCATGCAATATGATTGGAATGGAATTAACAGGATATTAACTGGTTTCCAGATTTTACAATGTGCATTTTCATACAGGAACAAATAAAACCTAATAAAACTACCCATCTCTAAAAAAACATAACCCAAATGACAACAGGCTCAGCCCTGCGTATGGGTAGAAAACAAAAGCATTTTTTCAGTGTAACTACTGTAAAACGTGACAAGTCATTTATTGGCCAATGTTTCTGCAAAAAAAGACTAATGAAGAGGTCTAGGATTAAAACTTGATGATGATGATGAAAACATTTAGCATTTTACAGCATCACTTCATCTGCACTTGCAAAAAATGCAGTGTCTTTATGTTGTTATTTAGCTCACATCATATGGAATGCATATTGCTTGTCTGTAAGGACAGAGAAAACACGAATATGAACTTGGGCAATTTTTTGTCAATTTGTTCTATTAGCCTAAACAGTCTTTCCCAGCAAGATGGGATATTTATACATGTTTTATTTTAAAGAGGTCCTGAACTGCATTTTGCATAAAAAATTTTCATCATTTAGAAATAAAAGGACATTTTCTACCCTGATTTTAGTCCTCTTGATTTGAACGCTCTGTTGGTCTGCTTTTAGACTTCAGTGGAAACACCCATTGCTATGATTGGCTGATATCTTTGCATATGTTTTACATGTAATACATAAATCTTTGCTTTGTATTACATGTGGAACGTTCTCAAAAACTTTTGAAGTTTTTACTATTACGGCTATTGAGATGAATAATCATGGGGAGTGTTGATTATAGCATTTATTTAGATCTACTCCTGTCGCATGAAAGGTTGCAGCGATGAGCATTGTAGCCGATGAGACTGAGCGCATGAATGCAGTGATCTCGTCTTTTTGCAACTCGAGTTTTGCACTTTCACAAATGTTTTCATCATAACTAAGTGCAAACTCTGAAACTTACATGTTTTTATAGTACAATGACTTCTTACATGTCAAAACATCTCAATTCATGACCCCTTTAAATTAAACTAAATGTGCATTTAATTACATTAAATTTAATATAATGCTTCACACACTGCTTTTAGATTATGGGCTCTTCAGTTTGTCTTGTTAGAATTCTTATAGCCTATAGTTATCTAAACATCCCCATGCAGTAGAGTTTGCACACTACACCTGTTTTATTACCATTCTGTGCCCATCATCTGCTGTTTCCAACACTTAATCAAGCCACTCTTCTTTAAAACATGTTTTATTTCATGTCATTGCATTTGCGTTGGCTCATGTGTTGAGTTATTTCTTCAGCAACCATTCAAGTATTTTACAGCGACTCATTTGGCGCACATCATTCCCTTTCTATGAAACCTGTAAACAGCATTCACCAGTTCTACCTCTAAAGCGACACCAGCTCTATAGCGGTTTGCCAGAGCATTGCAATTATTTCACAATTATTAAACTTAATTACGCATTTATTAAGATTAACAGTGATTCTTAAACACTGCTGATTGGTCATTGTGTTCACGCGCTCAACAGATACGAATGTGATTGGCTTCAATGATCATCGCTTCTTACTGTTGACAAGCAAGTACTTTTATGTTGGTACTTTTGACAACACTAATTCCTGGAGGCTCTGTTTGCTACTGTGTGACCATGTGTGATCCTTTCCCTTCAATGTGCATTTTAAATGGCCACATCTGGATATAAAACTCAAAACTGAATGAAAATGAATATCCAAAGACACTTTTAACATCTCTCAATAACTGACTATTTTAAGTTTTAAGTTAAATAAAATGATTTGATTCTCAACTGTGTAGAGAGCTCAGTTGAACCATACTCACTTTGGCAGAGTGACATTAACCATTCCAGATGAAACGATTTCCACTGACTTCCCCCAGAACTTATTCTTCCATCTTTGGTCTGAAAATGTAGAATGACTGAATGAATGAATGAATGAATGAATGAATGAACAAACAAACAGAATAAAATAAATGCATATATTTATATTAAAAAAATATTTGAGGTGTGTGATTTCATTTGGTAATGAATGTGACATAGAATTTTAAACCTACAAGTAAGTCTATTTTTATGATAGCACTGACTGTAAAGTGACTGTAATGGGGTTATCAAAATAGCCTAACACAACTCTGTGCTTTTGTTCTCATTTACTTAAATTTTTAGTTTAGTGAATTTAACTTCCGCTTTAAAAGCCTTATTTTTGCCCATATTGCCCAACCCTACATTGACCAGCCAAATGCTGCATTTATAGCACATACAAAACAAGCCGTTAGCAAACTATGACTGTCCAAGCAAGAACTGGTGGTGTAATTTTTTATTTTTTTGCTAGTGGCAACAAATGCACCACTGGAAGGTCAGTGTGCAGTACTCGACAACGGGGATCGGTCACATTATTTTAAGGTCCACTTCTCACCATTAACAAAACAACAAATGACTTTTGCCTCAAACTCCTAATTTGCTGCTTATTAATAGTACTAGTGTTGTCAAAAGACCCGGTATTTCGGTACCAAGTCGGTACTAAAAAAATTAAAACGTTACGGTACCAGAATGGCATTGGTTTTGTACATTTAATTTTTGTTTAACGTTATTAATAAAAATGTTGTTCAATTAGCATGTTTTTGTGTTTTGTTTTGGTACCGAAATTGGTACCGAGAACCGTGGATTTTCACTGGTATCGGTACCGAATACTGAAATTTTGGTACCGTGACATCACTAAATAGTACGGTAGTTTTTAAATGTAGGTATTGGGTAGGATTAGGGATGTAGAATATGGTCATGCAGAATATGTGCTTTATAAGCATGTTATTAATGTTGATAAAAGGCATGCTATTAAGCAACTTGTTAATAGTAAGAATTGGTCCCTATACTAAAGTGTTACCGGGGAATCAGAGATCAGTGGAGCCACCCATGGGCCTCTCAGCAGACTGCCTCTGTAAGGAGAGCTATAAACCATTGCGATTAGATTACACGCGTCGCAACATGTCTTCAAGACCATCCTATGCAATATGTATCTGGGTAGAGAGATAGTCTTGATACAATAGAGCATTGTGGGTTATAATGTAACAGTGGCTCTCCCAGTGAGAGAGAATCTCTCCACCAGCTTATGTAGGCCAGGGTAGATATATTTGCTGTGCATGAAATAAGGGTAATGTCTTAGAGTTTGTCAACTGGGATTGTTTTTTTTAAAACAAACTAAATGTGAAAACACACTGTGTATGTAGAACGCCTGTAGAAGGCACCCAAAAACATTGCTGTATGTTTCCACCCACCCGTGTCATAGACTGTTTGACCCCCTGCCCTCACCACACAGACTGAGAAACAGCTTCTTTAATAGCTTTAATAACGTATTTCAGTCAAATGTAAAATTAAAAGGGAACATTATGTATAATGTTAATTCAACTTTAAAAAAAATAAATACATTTAAAAAAAAAAAGCTGTATTTCATTGGTCAATTTTAGTAATTATTGTTTTTTGTTTTTTTTCTAATGAATTATCTAATATTATACCATGGTCTGATTGGCTGGCAGGTGTGAATTAAAACCGTTTAATGCACAGGTAGTTCCAAGTCAGTTTAATCACCGTTCCATATTAATGCGCTGCTTTCAGTGACACACACATGGTGTTGCTAAATTGTTTTGGATGGTTGTTAGAGTGTTGCTATGCAGCCATTATGTATTATCACATTGCTAGCATGATTAAAGGTCAAGGTCAATTTATTTATATAGCACATTTAAAAACAACTAGTGTATACCAAAGTGCTGTACAAAACCAATAATAACAAGGAGTAAGAAAATAAAAGAAAACTACAAAAACAACAAATAACCAATAAAAGAGATTGTACACATTACAGTACACAAAACACAGTTCAACCAAACACCAGAGAATACAAATAGGTCTTCAGCCGTGATTTAAAAACCGTAATGGAAGGGGCAGATCTAATGTCCTGAGGTAAGCTATTCCATAGTCTAGGACCAGCTACAGAAAAAGCATGATCCCCTTTCAACTTCAAACGAGAGTGGGGAACATGCAGGAGTTGTTTATTAGAGGATCTGAAAGTTCGAGAAGATTGTTGGTAACTGTCCAACGGCCAGATACGATGGTGCTACACCATTTAATGCTTTAAAAACAAATAATTACATCTTAACATGGATTCCATACTGCATTGGTAACCAATGAAGAGATGCTAGGACTGGGGAGATGCTTTCCCTTCTCCTAGTGCCAGTCAGCAACCTCACGGCTGCATTTTGAACCAACTGTATGCGATACAATGAAGATTGAGATCCATATAGAGGGTTTTGCAATAGTCTAAGTCTGGAAGAAATGAATGCATGGATAATCTCCAAATCCTTAAATGAGAGCATAGGTTTTAAGTTTTTTTTTTTTTAGGTTTAGCTGCTCTGCGCCACTGCACTTATCTGTTTTTCAAAATTCACAGAGACAGCACCAGAAGGCCCAAAAACAACAATCTCAGTTTTGCTTTCATTTAATTGGAGAAAGTTTCTTGCTGTCCAGCATTTAATATCTGTAAAACATTTGAGGAGTTCATAGTAAGAGTTCTCAGAACTAAGGGGGATGTAAATCTGAGTATCGTCAGCATAGCAATGATACGAAATATTATATTTCCTCATGATAGAACCCAAGGGGAGCATATACAAACAGAATAAAATAGGACTCAAAAGTGACCCCTACGGTACCCCATATTTGAGTGGTGCAAAAGGAGAGGACCTTCCAATAATCACCTTTACTTAAGATTAAGCTGAGTAGTGTGATCAACTGAATCAAATGCAGAACTAAGATCAAGTAAAATTAAAATGGCAGATTTACCAGAGTCCAGAGCAAGGATTTAAGGATTTAAAATAAAAGTTTTGTTATGAAGAGGTCTCGAGTTTACCATTGCCAACTTGGCAACACGAGTATGATCTTCCACAAATCCATTTGAAGTTTTCGCATATTCCAGCGATGGAAGATTTTGTAGATTGGCACCTCTTTTGATAATCCATGGTCGCACTATAGCGCAACCAGTTGTAGCCTCATCTGGTAGGACGGGCAGTAGACAGTATAGCGATGAAGAGAGAATTCCCCCCCCCCCAAGCGTTGTCCATGCAGGTCGCACAACCCTGACGCGTGCAAGGATCTTCTGATCCTGACCAAAAAGCCATCCCGTTTTCCGTGCTTTCTGTGGCGTCTTTACCGATAGAATGAGCAGCTGTGGCAGGTGGCCTCAGGAAACAGCGAAGAATAGCGGGTGTTGAAATACTGCTCTACACATTGAGCACACAGTTCAGTGACAGCGGACTGAATATCAAGAAGGGTTTGGCGATCATAGGAGAGCAAGGTACCGATTCCTTGTGCACATATACACATTGATAACACAAACACATACACAGTACCGCCGCTCCCTGTACGCAGAGTACACAATTTGCGTAGGGCACCAACTCCCAGGGGCGGCACCATCCCAGATGCTCAAAAAAACACTTTTGTTCTATATTACTATTAACATATGCATATAGATAAATACAAATATTAACATACAGAATTATAAAAAATGCATTTGTAGTCAGTAGGCTAAGCACACGTGATGTGACATTCCCGCATCCACACCCACCCTCACCTCACGTTTGCAAATGATCATAATTGATGGACAACTAGGCCTATGGCCGGAAACAAAACATCAGCAGTCCAGCGCCGAGAAAAGAAAAAGTAAAAAATCCCAAGATGAAGCCCGTGCATCCCTTTCAGGTATGTTCATATTCCTGTGAAACTTTTTTTGGCTGTTGATGTTAATAACATTTATTAACGTTAATTCATGTTTTAATTATCATATGATGAGCTCATTGACGACTTCGCCTCCAAAAATAGCAGGAGTGTGCCTTTGTAAATTTTGAAAGCTCCAGCAGATGACGTATATCAGTGTTGATTTTCTGAGTGCCTTGTTGGCAGAAGCTATTAACAGTAACCTACATGTGATTGGGATAGTCAACACTACAAAAGACTATTGGCAAGCAACAGCTCCAGTGGCGTAGATGGTAAAGTGAGTGATTTAGACGTTTTGACACGATTGTTTTGACCAGTGTTCGAATCCGCCTTTTGCCAAACTTTTTTTTCTCTCTTTTCAAATCTCATATCGCATCGGATAGGCATTTATTTTCAATAAAAATGAAGCAAATAATCGAAAAGTTTAAAATAATGTATAAGGTAGGGTTAGGGTAGGTGTAGAGAGGGCTTTATTTGTCCCAATAAGGTGGAATACATTTTTTTTATTTGAATTAAAATGATAATTTACACTCAATATGTTATTACTACATATGGTTTTATAATTTACCACACTATTGAGGTGCAGATAATTGCCACAATTTCCAATTAGTAGTATAAATAGCAGAAAATCCTGCTATTTTATCAGTGTAAATGGAATCTACAGCTATTTGCACTTGGTGTAAAAAGCATATCGCTAAGAAAATACTGCTATTTTCACTTAGTGTAAATAGCATCTATCGCTAAGAAAATATGCTATATTCACTTGGTGTAAACGCACATACAGAACATGAGAAGAACAGCAAAGAACATGAGCAACGGCAGACCAACAACCACACTGGCACCATCTTGCTCAGCAGGACACCTCAGCCAGCATGTTTCAGATAGACACTATGCTAGTTGCTAAAAAAAAGATACAGCAACACGAGTCTGAACAGTCTGACGGTGGTTGAAGCTTCAAAGCTCTAGGACAAGTTAGAGTCAGAAATTTTAGTCTCAGAGGAAGAAGAATATGTTTAAACAGCATTTCAGTATGTTGGCTTTCTAAAGCCAACCTAATTAGTCAATACTAGCTTTACCAGCACAGGATTTTGCCAAGGATCCTGCCTAAATTTCTTATCTACAACTTTTCATTCTGCACCATTGCTGACCTAGAGACAAAGGTTAGTAGCTACTAAAAGAGATAGTTGTGTCTGCTTAGCATGAGCAGCACTGACTTAAAGAGCGGTTTCACACTGCGTGAACAAGGCATGACTAGAGCGCAACCATTGCAATTGTGTGCGTTTACACTGACCACATCTCTTCTGACACTGCACAGAAAATAAAGATATTTCTGGGATACTTGGCCAAATGTTGTCTTTAATAACAGCCAAAAACATAAAATGGTTTTGAGAAAGGGGTAATTGAGAACCATTTTAAACTTAACAGGGTCTTTGCGTGTCAGTCGCCCTGCATAGGCCTGTCACGGCGATATATTGCCTCAGAAGTAATTGTGATTAACAAAAATATTGTAATTTTACGTCCATTTTATGCCACTGACTATAATATTTCAGCAGTACCTATCAGCACCCTCAAAGCATCACCTGGGTAATGCTGAAGCGGATATTGACATCAATTCAATGCACTGAACAGCGCTGATGCCAGTCGTGGGAAATCCCCTTAAATCTGAAAGGATGCTACAACAAAGATAACGCTTTCATCTTCTGACAACTGATGACAAACAGTTTTTTTCCATAAACAATTGCTGCTAGCATAGAGGCAGAGGTCTGATCGGCTTTAACTAGGCTGGAAGAGGGTGTCTGATGTTCAAAAGACTCAAAATACACCAAAAGTCATAGGACACAACACTGCTTGGCATCAAAAAGTGTTCCATTATATCTGCTTATTGGGTATCTCTGTTTTGAAATTAATATTAAACGTAACATCCCACATGAAGAATTCATAAAATTTTGAACTGTTACCTTGCCAAAAGCTGAAGTTATCAGACTCTGCATGGCAGGCAGACAGAGGTGGGTGATGACTGACCTAGAAAGAGGAGAAAAAAAAAAAAACAACGTGTTAAAATGCAATTATTTCAAATACAGTCCTTCATATTGTATGTACTATATATTAAGTGTTCATACCTGCTCTGCGATATAACGGAAACCATGGTCCTCCCGCACATTCTCATACGTTTCCCCTAGAACAGGGTTAAAGGGTTTGTAACGATTACGCCAGCTGGCCCAGGCATAGCCTGAAATAGAGAACACAGCCACATAAACCTGAAAGAGAGGGGAAAAAGGCAAATTACAAATAATACCTCAGACTAATGCTGCACATGCAGTCAACTCCACTTATTGAAGGTTATCTTCATAAACTGAAACAAAGACAAAAGTTAAAATACAAAAAAAAAAAAAATACAATAATTTTCATGATTTAAACAAAAAAACTCAAAATATAGTTTTTGTTTTTGTTGCTGCAATTTAAGTAGAATTTAGTTATACAATTTGGATGAGGTGTTTTAAAGTGAAACCTGTCATTGTTCTTTTACACGCATGCAACTTATGGTGCATAGCAGCTGTACATTACAGGTGCTTTGCAGGCCAGTCGCTCTGCATAGGCCTGTCACTGCGATATACTGTCTCAGAAATAATCATGATTAATAATATTATTGTCCTTTTACAATCATTTTATGCCACTGACTATATAATATTTCAGCAGTAGCTATCAGCACCAGTCAGTGCAGTTAAATTGTTATGCCAGTAGGTGGTAGCAAGGGTCTGGCTTTACGAGCAAGTCATCATTAAAGGGGTCATATGATGCGATTTCAAGTTTTCCTTTCTCTTTGGAGTGTTACAAGCTGTTCGTGAATAGATAAGATCCCTAAAGTTGCAAAGACTAAAGTCTCAAACCCAAAGAGATATTCTTTATAAAAGTTAAGACTGGTCCACACCCTCCTAAAACGCCTCGTTTAAACACGCCCCCACATGTCTACGTCACAGTGTGGGAAGATTTGCATAATGCCGCACAAATGTTCACGCAAAGAAAGAAGGCGTAATTTTGTTGCTGCCACCACCGCTGCCATGTTGTGAAGACGCTGTGTGTTTCCTTTTACGAAAGTGAAAATAGTTTGTTTGGCCTTTCAAAAGAGGACATGACTAGAAATCAGTGGTTAAGTTGCATTTACAACACTGTTCCAGAACAGTTCAACCCAAATATTCAGATGTGTGCAGCGCATTTTATGGAGGACTGTTTCCTGATGCTGGGAGAGTAGACTACAATGCCGGCTGTTCTGACTCACAGACTGTAAGTACGTTTTCATATTTAAAGAGCAGGTCATATGGTTTTTTAAAGTGCCCTAATATTGTGTTCGAGTGCCCTACAACAGGTTTAAATGCATCTAAGGTCAGAAAACACTGTAATTTTCCCAGAATATACATTTATTGGTCCATGATTTCGAAACGGTTTGTTCGATTCAGTTCCGAGCGAAATGTCTTTAAACCCCTCCCTTCCATAACCCTACTCTGCTCTGATTGGCCAGCTGGCCGAGCCTGTTGTGATGAGCACTTGAGCAGTTTAGTGAGAGCTACCATATGTGTTGCCAAGTCCGTGGTTGTTTTTGATGTCGTGGGTTGTAGCGACCCCAATAACGTCATATTTAGGCACTGGAATGCGAATGCGAAAGGGGGACCACCCTCGAAACACGATTGGGCTAGTTTTGAGTAGCAATTGGGCGGGTTTTGTTGTGACAACCTGGCAAACCTAGCATGCACCTTTACATAAAACAATAATATAATGCTCCAATCAGTTCTTAAAATAATGACATAAAACATTTTGTTTAACACTTATGCAAGCGAATC